AGACCCAAAACGTCAGCTTTCCTGCTCCTCTGCTGCTTGGCCTGCTGTGTTCATCCAGCTCTACACCTTGTTATCTTTGATCAAAAACAAGCACTGATTATAATTCTTCTTGCCGGCACTCAGCCTATATTCTTATATGCCTTGACATTGCCAGTGAGCATCTAAATACTTCTAAATGTTTTCAGAGGTTCTGCCGCTACTACTCTTTCAGGCAACAAATTCTAGACTTTCCCCCGACCCTCAGTGAAGAAATATTTTCTCACATCCCCTCTAAAACTGCTACACCTTACTTTTAAATATGCCCCCATTCATTAACTTTCCTACCAAGGGGAAAAGCCCCTACTTATAGCCCCTGCTCATTTCCCTCACAACTTATCCATTATTTCCCCTGCTTTGCTCCAAGGAAAACAACTTCAGTCTATCCAATCACTCATCATAGGTAAAATCCTCCAGCCCAGGTAACATCCTAGTTAATCTCCTGTGCCCACTCTTCAGGTCAATCACATCCATCGTATAATGTGGATTCCAGAACTGTATATAATACTCCAGTTGTGGCCGAGCAGATTTTTTTTGCAGTTCCAGTATAACCTCCCTGCTCCTGTATTCTGTTGTTCAGCTAATAAAGCCTAGTATATCCTTAACCACTCTGGCTACCTATCCCACTCCCTTAAGGGACTGGTAGACATTCACATCAAGGGTTCCTCTGATCTTCAGTGCTCCCCAGTTCACCATGTAATCCCTTACCTTTTTTTTATCATGCCCAAGTGCATCGACTCACATTAATCTGGATTGAATTCTATTTGTCACTGATCAGCCGTCTATATCCTCCTGTAATCTACGGCTGTCTTCCTACCTGTTTATCAGCCCACCGTTTTTGTTTTTGTATCATACGCAAACTGACTGATCAACCCTCCTATATTCATGTCTAAATCATTTATACATACTTCAATCAGCAAGGACCCCAGCAATGATCTCTGTGGGACCACCCACTGGACACAGGCTTCCGGCCACAAAAACACTCCTCAACCATACCCTCTGCTTCCTGCCACTTGCTCAATTCTGGATCCAATTTGGCAAATTTCATTGGATCCCATGAGCTCTTAACTTTACTGTCAGTCTCTCAAATGGAACCTTATCAAAAGCCTTGCCAAAGTCCAAGCAGATGACGTCAAATGCATTGGCCTTCATTCTTGAATAACAGACCCACATTAATGTCCTCCAGTCCTCTAGCATTTCTCCTGTGGCCACAGAAAAATTGTGAATATTTGCCAGTGCCCTGCTATTTCCTCCCTTACCTCACTGAAAAGCTAGGATACACTTCATCTGGTCCTGACAATTCATCATTTACTTTCAAAATAAAAACCGAAAGAACTGCGGATGCTGCAAATCAGGAACAAAAACAAAGTTGCTGGAAAAGCCCAGCAGGTCTGGCAACATCTGTGAAGGAAAAAACAGAGTTGTCGTTTCGGGTCCGGTGACCCTTCCTCAGAACTAATACACTGAGGAAGGGTCACAGGACCTGAAATGTTAACTCTGTTTTTTCCTTCACAGATGCTGCCAGACCTGCTGGGCTTTTCCAGCAATTTTGTTTTTGTTTCATCTACTTTCAAGCCTGCCAGACCACTCAGAGCCTCCTCTTTGTTTATGCTGATTTCTTCAATTATTTCATCCCTCCCCCTGATTCTATACCCACATTGTCCCTCTCACTAGTGAACACTGGCATAAAATGTTTATTGAGAACCCGACCCATATCCTCTGGGTCCACACAAACTAACAGTGTGGTTCTTAATGGACCCAACTCTTGCCCAAATTATTCTTTTATCCTCGTAAAATAAGTTAGACTGTTCCTGCATGTTACTTGCCATTATCCTTTCACGCCCCCATTCTGCTGTCCTAATTTTCTTTTCAATATCCCTCTTACATACTCCATATTCATATAGATTTTCTGCTGTTTAAGCCCTCAGTACCTGCATAAAATTCTTTTACTCTCTGTTATCCAATCATGTATATCCCTTGACATCAAAGATTTGACAGATTTGTTGGTCCCACCCTTTATCTTTCTTGGAAATTGTGTGCCTGTAATCTCCATATTTCCTTTTCGAATGTGACCCACTTTTCTGACACAGACTTACTGAAAAGCATGTCTCCAAGTCCACTGTGGCCAAATCATATCTGATGTTATTAAAATCAGCCTTCACCAGGTTTAGAACTTCAATTTCAGGCCCATCCTTGTCCCATTCCATAACAATCTTGAATCCAACAGAGTTATGACCGCTGTCTGCAAAATACTCCCCCCACAGATATTTCAACCACTTGCTTCATTACCTAAAATTAAGTCCAGGACAGCATCCTATCTTACGAAGCCTTCTATGTATTGGCTTAAAATGGTCTCCTGAATCTATCCTAAAAATTCTGTTCTCTCTAAATCTCTCACACAATGACTACCCCAGTTAATTTTGGAAAGGAAGAAATCTCACACTGTCACTATCCTATTCCTTTTACACTCTCTGAAATTTGCCTATTCTATTTCCCACTGATTGTCTTGGACCCCTATAGTACACTCTCAACAATGTCATTGTTTCATTTTAAGTTTTACTTAATGGCTTCATTTGAGGAACCCACTAACATGCCATCCCACTTTACTGCTGTAATTGATTCCCTTATCAGTGTTGTGAGATCTCCACTTCTACCTCCTTCCCAGTAGTTTTACCTGAAGGCCCTGTATCCTGGAATATTGAGTTGCCAATCCTGTCTCGCTCTCAACCATGTCTCATGACAACATACTTCCAAGTTTTAATTTGCACCCTCACCCGTCTGCATTGTTCATCAGACTCTTCGCATGACAGTAAAAAACATCCAACCTTGCCAATCTCCCTTGTGCCTGAACTGCCCAATATTTCCAAATCCTTCCTGACTCACTCACTCTCTCTCTTCTAGTTTTTGCTGTGTATCTCCCCGTGCTAAACCATTCCTCAGGATTCCAGCCTGCTGCCAAGTTAGTATTAACCTTGAACAACAGCACTCGCAAACCTCCCCACAAGGAAGCTTGTCTAACTAATTCCAATTCAGATGCAACCCGTCTGCCTTGTATGGGTCCAACCATCCCCAAAAGGGGTCCCATTGTCCCAGAAATCTAAAGACCTAAAGATGATGAGAGAACACACCATCTCTCTAGCCATGCACTCATCTGGATGAACCTCCTATTTCTATGCTCACCAGCACATGGCAGTGGAAGTAATCCAGAGATTAAAACATGTGAAGTCCTTTTATTAGTGTATATCCTAACACCCCAAATTCAGCTTGCAGGATCTCATCCCTTTTTGCCCCCATTTTGTTGGTACCAACATGCACCACAATCTCTCACTGTTGCCATCCAATGTAGCTTTTGAAGACTCTGTACACTTATGTATGAAACCCTCTATTACTCCATGTTCATTCGCTGCCAAGCACTGATAATCTCCAGTCTCCCTGGATATAATGTGAGGAGTCTGCAACCACAGCTCATTGTTGGAATGAAGCCTGATTTTACTCTCTCTCTCACTCTGTCACACTCTTTCTCTGTCTTGCCATCTCTTTCTCTTTTCCACTCTTGTGAACTGTCTAACTGACTCAAACTCCAACTGACTCTGAATCCTTGGACTGAACTCCGTGACATATTGAAAACTTGGCAACAAGTTTCAAGCTTGGACCGAGGTAAGTTTGACAGTAGCAACCGATAGAATATTCATACTCCCTGAGTTTTACAATATTGTCAGATTAATGTTATACACAGTACAAATAGATTCAACAAAAAAAAACGTAGAATAGATAAATCTACAGTTCTGTGTAGATGCCACGTGTTGAATACGGTGTCTTCTTAATCTGGAACTTGCATTCCTTTAAGCAGTATGAAAGCTGATTTTGTGTGTGTGCGAGTGTGTGCGTGTACACCTGCGAGATATTGACATCTGAATCAACTCACATTGCACAGTGACAGTTATGGAATTCCCCACTGTTCCATGTTCATTCTCTGCCACACACTGATAGTCTCCAGTCTCCCTGTATGTAATGTGAGGAATCTCCAACCACAGCTCATTGTTGGAACTTGTTCTGTTCATTGTGACATTAAGATGTCTCCAAGACAGATTAGAAGCTGGGAAGCTCGTGACAGAACAGATTATCACTGCAGACTTCCCCTCAATTATATTGATTGATGAATCTTTAATTCCATCACGGGAAGTAATTGAGAGATTCTGTGGTGGATCTAAAAGCAAATAATGATCAGTTAATTACATGGACTGTGAAGCACTTTCCAGACCACGACAATGTGACAGAAGAAAAAGTAATACATTTTCCTTCTCCACACATCGTGTAACTGAGGCAGATGTTCCAATTCTGTACAGAGGGATGGATTCACTGTCAAAGAATCGGTGCTGAGCAAGTGTTGCACTATCGGAGAATCAGTACTGAGAGAGGACCACAATGTCGGACGGTGTGCGCTGAGGGAGTGCCGTATTGTCGGAGGGTCAATACTGAATGAGGACAGCTCTTCCAGAAGGTCGGTACTGTGGGAGTGTGGTCCTGTCAACACTCTCATTTTTAATGCAAAATGTTCAAACAGCAATGTGATCATTCCATTTTGGTTTTGACCTTTAACCAATATGGCTTCATTTGAAGAGGTTTTCTGACCTCCTACATTCATGTCAGAGTTATTTATACATACTTCGATCAGCAAGGACACCAAAAATGATCTCTATGGGACCCCATTGGACTTGGGCTTCCAGTCGCAGAAACCCTCTTCAACCATCACCCTCTGTTTCCTGCCACTTAACCAATTCCTGATCCAATTGTCCAACTTTCTTTCAATCCCATAGGTTCTTTACTTCACTGTCAAAGTCTTATTTGGGAGACTATCAGAAGCCTTGCTGAAGTCCTAAGAGATGAAGTCAAATGCATTGCCCTTCATTGTTGAATAATAGTGTCACAATTGGCTGTTCTCCAATTCACTGGCACCTCTCCAATGGCAACAAAGGAATCAAAAATTTTTGCCTGTGCAAACATTTTCTCAATCCAATCCTGTATATCCCTCAACATCCATGGTTCGCAGAATTTGTTGATCCCAGCTTTCATCTTTATTGAAACATGTTTGCACATTCCGCTTTCGATTCCCTTTTGAAATGTGTCCCAATATTTTGTCATAGTTTTAAATAAATCTATGTGCTCCCACTCTACTCTAGCCAAATAAAATCTGAACTTGTTACATTGGATTTTTCCATGTTTAGAACTTCAATTTCAAGCCCATCCTTCTCCTTAGTCAAAACAATTTTGGATTTTATAGAGTTATTGCCTGGGGGCGGGAGTTATTGGCGGCACGGTGGCTCAGTGGTTAGCATTGCAGCCTCACAGCGCCAGGGACCCGGGTTTGATTCCAGCCTTGGGCGACTGTCTGTGCAGAGTTTGCACATTCTCCCTGTGTCTGCGTGGGTTTTCCTTCGGGTGCTCTGGTTTCCTCCCACGGTCCAAAAATGTGCAGTCTAGGTGGATTGGCCATGCTAAATTGCCCGTAGTGTTCAGAGGTGTGGGGTTTATAGGGGGATGGGTCTGGGTGGGATGCTCCAAGGGTCGGTGTGGACTTGTTGGGCTGAAGGGCCTGTTTCCATGCTGCAGGGATTCTGAGTTATGATCGCTGTCTGCAAAATGCTCCCCTACTGACATTTGAACCACTTGCCCTGCTTCATTCCCTAAAACTAAGTACAGGTTCATGCCTGTTCCTGCAGGGCCTTCCATGTACTGGCTTTTAAAGCTCTCCTGGATGCATTGTAAAAATTCTGTTGCTTTAAACGTTTCACACCATGACTACCTTAGTTGATGTTGGGAAGGAAGTAATCTCCCACTGTCACTATCCTAGTCCTTCTAAACTCTCTGAAAGTTGATTGCATACCTGCATTTTTTTTTTCCTCTTTGGTTGTCTGGGGGCCTGTAGTACACTCATAGCAATGTGATTATTCCTTTTTAATTTTTACGTTGAACCGATATGGCTTCAGTTGAGGAGCCTCCTAAGATGTTGACCCACCTTACTGCTATAGTTAATTCCCTGATTAACATTGCCTTTACCTCCTTCCCTTTCTTCACCAGAAGACCTTGTCTCCTGGAATATTGAGCTGCCAATCCTGTCTCCCTCCCAACCATGCCTCCGATATAACAATGACATCATACTCCCAGGTTTAATTTGTACTCTCAACTCATTTGCGTTGTTCATCAGACTTCCTGCATTAAAGCAATACCATTCAACCTTGCCAATCTACCTTGTGCCTTAACGGAGCAATACTTCCCATGCCTTCCTGACTCAGTTGCTCTCTCTTCTAGTTCTGGCTGTGCTTCTCCCATGCTGAACCTCAGGACTCAGCCAACAACAAAAACAGGAATTGCTGGAAAAGCTCAGCAGGTCTGGCAGCATCTGTGGAGAGAAATCAGAGTTAATGTTTCGGATTAATCAGAACTTCCTCGGGATCCAGCCCCCTGCCAAGTTAATATTAACCCTACCCAACAGCATTAGCAAACTTCCCCACAATGCTGATCGCATTCCTGTTCCACTGCAACACATCTTTTCCACTGCCCCTAAAAAGTGTCCCAATGCCCCAGAAATCTACAGTCCTCCTTGTAGCACCATCTCTCCAGCCTTAATCTGGATGACCCGTGTATGTCTGTATTCACGAGAATGTGGCACTGGAAGTAATCAAGAGATTACTATCTGTAAAGTCCTATTTTTTTTACTCTACTTCCTGGCGCCCCAACTTCTGCTTTCAGGACTGCAACCTTATTTTCTATATATGACGTTGGTAACAATATGTACCACAATTTCCAATTGTTTGCCTTCCATTGTAGATGATGAAGGCTGTGTACACTCACATTGCACAGTGATGCTAATGAAGCCCTCCTCTGTTGCATATTCATTCTCTGCCACACACTGATAGTCTCCAGTCTCCCTGGATGTAATGAGAGGAATCTCCAACCACAGCTCATTGTTGGAACTTGTCCTGTTCATTGTGACATTAAGATGTCTCCACGTCAGGTTTGAAGCTGGGAAACTCTCAACAGAGCAGATTATCACTGCAGAATTCCCCTCAATTATATTGATAGATGAATCTTGAATTATATGAGGAGAAGTAATTGAGAGATTCTGTGGTGCATCTGAAAACAAAGGAAGAGAATATTGTGACAGAACAGTAAACAGCAGGATGCTATGCAGATATTGCTGTGTTTAATGCCCCTGAATTTCATTCACTTCCCCTCTATGAAAGTTTTTGTTATATTTATAATGGACATTGCCCATAAATTGTCATTATATTCTGTCACCACCAGAGCTGCTGTCCATCGGGAAAGAAAAAAGTTGTTTTCATGTCCTCAGGATGACCCCAGGTTCTTGTCAGCTATTGGATAACATTTATTCATTGCATTACTAAGTGATATGGTATAACTGCAGACCACATCAGGGCAAAATCTGTCTGCTGCCCAGTATGTTCATTTTATCAAGTAGACAACATTTGATTTGTCAGATACTTAGTAAGAGAATAAATCCATCAGATGCAATAGTTTTGAATAAACGAAATAAGATTTCTGATGCAAAGGTACAGTCTCCAATGTATGTACCACATATATTCTAACATCCAGAATTAAACTGATGTCAATATGGGTAACAGACAAACTGAGATTGAAGACACTCCAGAGCACATTAAATGAAAAATGAGGTGAAGACAGATCTTTGAGCGTACCCCAGCTATTAATGACACTGTGGTTCATCATATCTCAATGTTAAATATGGAAGTGGAATTTCTTTCTGACCTACTAGGTGCTTTATTCTGAAACCTAAGTGAATCCCAGGCCTTTTTCTGAATCCTTACTCCAACATTCAGCTACTGGCTCCCTGGACTACTCCTGGGTCCTAACATAGCTGCAACGACAAGTTCTCAGGTCTAACCGAATGGGATGATCAAACGGCGGCTGGGACGACTTCATGTGCTGCTACCACACAGAACGAGTGACCTTCAGTTGGCTTTTCAGCAGCTGTGTGAGCAAACCTCAGCCTTCACGGAGCCTGTCCTTTTGTTTTAATCTGTCTCACTCCTAGGTTCGATGTTTCTCGTTCTCTTTGTCTCTCTCTTTCTTCTCTTCATGCTGTAATTATCTAACTGACTCAAACACAAACTAACTGAACCTTTGGATTAATTTGAGTGATCTATTGAAAACTTGGCAACGAGCAGCATGCTTGTACTAATGTATGGTTGACAGTATTAATGGAATGTAGTGTTCTCTGAATGTTACAATATTCTCAGATTGCTGTTATACACAGCAAATGGATTCAACTGAAAAAAAATACCGAGAACAGATAAATCTACCGTTCTCTGTGCGCTGCTTGTTAAATAGTTTCTCGGTACTCCAGAGGTTACATTGCTCCAACATGGAGTGAGAGCTGGTAACGGGTGAACATGTATATGTGTGTGTACATCTGAGAGATGTTGAAGTCTGTGTGCACTCACATTCCAAAGTGATGGTTATAGAGCCCTCCACTGCTCCATGTGCATTCTCTGCCACACACTGATAGTCTCCAGTCTCACTGTACGCAATGTGAGGAATCTCCAACCAAAGCTCGTTGTTGGAACTTGTTTTGTTCATTGTGACATTAAGATATCTCCACATCAGGTTAGAAGCTGGGAAGCTCTCAACAGAGCAGATTATCACTGCAGAATTCCCCTCATTTATATTGATTGATGAATCTTTAATTATATGAGGAGAAGTAATTGAGAGATTCCGTGGTCCATCTGAAAGCAAAGGAAGAGAATATTGTGACAGAACAGTGCACAGCAAGATGCTGGTTTTTCTGAATTTGGTGCTTCTGAATTTTCATTCACTTTCCCGCTATGTAAGTTTCTATGGGATACTTCTAATGGATATTGCACATGTAAGCTGTCATTATATTCTCTCACCACCAGAGCTGCTATCCATCAGGAAAGAAAAAAAGTTATTTTCATGTCCTCAGTATGACCTCAGGTTCTTGTCAGCTATTGGATAATATTTATTCATTGCATTACTGAGTGATACAGTATGACTCCAGACCAGATCAGGCCAAAATCTGTCTGCTGGCCAGTATGTTCATTTTAGCAAGTAGACAGCATTTGAGTTGTCAGATACTTACTAAGAGAATAAAGCCACGTGATTCAATAGTTTTGAATAAACAGAAATAAGATTTCTGATGCAAAGGTACAGTCTCCACTGTATGTACCACATATATTCTAACATTCAGAATTAAACTGAGGTCAATACGGGTAACAGATAAACTGTGATTAAAGACACTCCAGAACACATTAAATGAAAAATGAGGTGAAGACAGATCCCACAGATCTTTGAGCAGTACCCCAGATATTAATAACGCTGTGGTTCATCATATCTCAATGTTAAATATGGAAGTGGCTTTATTCTGAAACCTAAGTGAATCCCAGGATTTTTTCTGAATCCTTATTCCAACATTTAGCTACTGGCTCCCTGGACTACTCCTGGGTCCTAACATAGCTGCAACAACAAGTTCCCAGGTCTAACGGAATGGGATGATCAAACGGCGGCTGGGACCTCTTCATGTGCTGCTACCGCACAGAACAAGTGACCTTTAGTTAGCTTTTCAGCAGCTGTGTGAGCAAACCTGAGCCTATACAGAGCTTGTCGACCCTATTTGGCCACAACCTCTGGCTGTTCTCACTCACCCAGAAGGATTATCCTATGAAATCCCTGACCCTGGCTGCAGAGAGCAACACGCTATATTAGAGTGACATTGTCAAAAATCATACGATATCAGGTTATAGTCCAACAGGTTTATTTGAAAACACAAGTTTTCGGAGTCTCTATCCTTCCTCCATCATCAGACACAAAATTTATACGCAAAAAATGAAAGCATCATTGAACTGATATGAATGTATTGAGCAAACCTAAGATGGCTGTTACATCTTTAATCAGTTAGAAAGAAGATGCAGGTTTCTACTGATAAATATGCAAATCCAAGAATTTCTTTCAAGTCACTGCCCCGAGATAACTAAAGGTTTTATCAGTATACCAGAGGAGACATCTCAGGTCATGCAATGCATGTTAGATGTGAGGCCTTGTTTAGAATCTGTCTGTGTTTTAGCTTGGAGTCAGAGTTGACAGCTGCAGAAATATCTATCTGTCCCTAAACTAAAGAATCCCCACTCGGTACTGCACTTCCACTCTTCCCTCACCTCTCCTGTATAGCTGGGCCACCCATAGTATCTCAGCCTTGTGTGCTGCTGCACTTCTCCAGAGATCTATCACCAACATCCAGACAGAAAACCAGCTGCTGTGTGGGACCGCGGAGAACTCCTGCACTACCTGCCTGTTTCTCTTGGATTGCCAGGTATTGACACATTCCCTATCTGCCTGCTCCCCACTGACCTGTGCTATGATTATGTGATGGAATACTCAAATACACAACCTTCTTCATTTTCCTGAAGAAGGGTCCAGACCCCAAACGTCAACTTTCTTACTCCTCTGATACTGCCTGGCCTGGTGTGTTCCTCTAGCTCCACACCGACTGTCTTGTTGGGAGTGTTTCAGAGGACTGTTAAGAATCAACCATGTTGCTGTGGGACTGGAGTAACAAGAAGGACAGTCCCAATAAGAACAGCAAATTTCCTTCTGTAAAGGTCATTAGTCCACCTGAGGGCTTTGTACAAAAATTGACCGTGGTTGCATGGCCACTAGATTTTTATTCCACATTTTTGCCATCTGCCACGGGGTTTAACCTGTCTCCACCAAAGCATGAGCCAGGATGTCTGGATTATTAGACCAGTGATATTACCCGTACACCACCATCTCTCCTGCTTCAGTAGGGAGACCACAACTACACACAGTGCCCCAGATATGTTCAGGGCCCTAAACAGTTGTAGAAAAACACCTCCCAAACTTTTATTCCCAAATCACATTGCAACAACCACCAACATCCCACTTGTATTCCAATGCACCTGCTACGGATGTCTATTTGTAATGCATGTACCAGGAATCATTTGAGAGAGCATTAGAAGTTCTGAATGACACAATATTAAATTACAGAGTGTTTAGAGCATTCTAAAGGTCTGAAAAGATGTGAAATTGCTCACATTCTATGGGAATTTGGACAGGGAGAAACTGAGATGCCCAAGCTGTTTGTTACTACACAGTAGTAGGAGATTTCCACCTCAAATCCATAAATAACAGTAATGATTTGACCAGATAACATCAGATCAATGACTTTCGGTCACGTTCTGACAGATGTATTGCGGAGAGCATCTTTCAACGCATTAAACTATCAACGCATTAAACACTGAGATAAAGGAAAGAGTGTTGATGGAATATTCCCCACTTGCCTGTATGAGTGCAGCTCCAACAACACTCAAGCAGCTCAACACAATCCAGGACAAAGCACCCTACTTGATTGACACATCCACAAATATCCAATAACTCCATAACTGATGCTCAGTAGTAGCAGTGTGTACCATCTACAAGATGCACTTCAGAACTTCACCAAGGCTCCTTAAACAGCACCTCCCAAACCCACGAGCATTTCCATCTAGAAGTACAAGGGCAGCAGGTATGTGGAAACGCTGTCCCATGGAAACCCCAACTCTTGCAAGTTGCCCTCCAAGTCACTCACTCTCCCGACTTGGAAATACATCACCATCCCTTCAGTGTTGCCAGTTTCAAAATCCTGGGACTGCCTCCCTTAATTGTGGTACCTACAGCACGTGGACTGCAGTAATTCAAGAAGACAGCTCAACACCACCTTTTCAAGGGGTAATTGGGGACAGGCAGTAAATGCTGGTCCAGCCAGTGATGTCCACATTACGTGAATGACTACACATAGGAGTGATGTCTAATCACAGGATTTGGATAGGAGTTTAACTTGGATACAGGTCCAAGTTTAGAATTCAATAAACTGTGCTGGTCCCTGTATTGCAGATGATTTAACACAGCATTACAATAAGATTACAACAGAGAAATGTATCCTCTGCTCTGTGCCAGTGTTTCAGAAATTCAAAACCTTCTCTCACCCCTCCTAATGTTCCTCCCATCACTATTTCCATCCATTCCTTTATCCCACATATCCAGCCACCACCACCCGTTTCAATATATTGACATGATTCACCTTGACCACTTCTTACATTCTTTCCCCCCCACTTTCTGTGGAAATGAGGCCCACATTCCTGCCACTCCCTGTGAGAATGAGTCCCATGTTCTCCTTGCTACTCCTTGTGAGAGTGAGTCCCACATTCTCTTAGCCACTCCCCGTGGGAGTGAGAGCTCTATTTCCCCCACTCATATGGATGTAAGTCCCACATCCTCCCCAAAAACTCCCAGTGGGTGCGTGTCCAACATATCGCTCCCCATTCCTGTGGGAGCGAGTCCCACATTCCCACCACTCCCTGTGGGAGCAAGTCCCACATTCCCCACCCACTCCCTGTCAGATAAGTGTTACATGCCCACACTCCCTGCAGGTGCGTGTCCCACATTCCACCCCACTCCCTGTGGAAGCGTGTCCTATGTCCTCCCCCACCCAGAACTGTTTTCTATTGATGGCCCTTTTCTCATCTCCTCACTCCTGGACAAGTGGAAACATCTTCTGTATGTCTCCTCGATCAAAACCCCTTTCAGAATTTTACAAACCTTGGTAAGGTCACCCTTCAGCCTCCCTGTCCTGAAGTAACATCACTGGACCAAAAAAAAAGCTCTGTTTCTCTCTCCACAGATACTACCAGACCTGCTGGGTTTCTCCAGCATTCTCTGTTTCCATTTCACCCTCAGTCTTTTCTGGGGAAAGAAGTTCCAGCCTGTTTATTTTATTTTTGGCAGATAGTTATAACTTCTCAGTTCTGGGATCATCCTTTGTCAATACTAATTGAACCCAGTTCAAAGTGTCTTTTCATATAAGACTGTATGCTGTTCGATTTTAATGTTTTTGATGATGGAATCATCACTGAATGAGCCCAGTAATATATTCCGTTCTTTGCTGATCCTTGGGAATGTGAACAGGAGTCACTTTCTGGAATACAACTGAGTGTCTCACTGCATCTGTTTTAGAGTCAACCACATTGCTATGGATCAGAGGCACATGCAGGCCAGGCTGGGTAAGGACAGCATTTACTTCCCTAAAGGGCATTAATGAACCCGATGGGTTTTACAACAATTGACAATAGTCGCATGATCGCTATCTTTTGATTCCATATTCTTATGGAATTCAAATGTCACCTTCTGTCATGGTGGGTTTGAACCTGTCCCCCTCAGAGCATGAGCCAGGGGTCTGGATTATTAGAACAGTGACATTTCCAGTACACTACCAACTCTCCTACTTCAGTAAGGAGACTAAAACTACCCACAGTGCTCCGTAACTGTGTTCAGGGCACTACATCGCAGTAAAAACAACTCCTGAACTTTTATACATGATTCACATTGCAACAGCCATCAACATCCCACTTGTATTCCAAAGCACTTGCTGCACCTGCACGCAGTCTTTTATGAACCATGTACCAGGAATCATTTGAGAGAGCATTAAAACATATGAATGACCGAATAAGAAAATACAGGCATTTAGATCATACTGAAGCTTCAAGAAGATGTGAAATTGTTTTAACACTAGGATTAAAAGTACTCACATTCTATGGGAATCTGGACAGGGAGAGACTGTGAGCTGCCCGGGCTGTTTGTTGCTACATTGTAGTCGGAAATATCCACCTCAAATCCATAAGGAACCAGATCTAGTTTGACCAGATAATGTCAGATCAGTGACCTTCCCTTGGGAGATCTTAAACCAGCTGAATCTGTGGACTGCTGGATTCCCATCACCGGAACAACTTAGAGAAATGGTCTTTCCTTTTCCTGTTGTCATTCTGACAGACGTATTGCAGGGAGAATCTTGCAAACGCAAAATTATTAACACATTAAACACTGAGCTAAAGGAAGGAGTGTGATGCATGGATAGGTGTGCTTCCAACAATACTCAAAAAGCTCAATACTATTCAGGACAAAGCAGCCTGCTCAATTGGCACCACATCCAAAGACATCTACCCTGTCCACCATTAACCTTCTGTAGCAGCAAGTGTTTACCATCTACGATGTACTGCAGAACTTGGAACCATAGAATTCCTATGCTGTGGAAACATCCTATTTGGTCCATCGAGCCCACACCAACCCTCCGAACAGCATCCCACCCAGACTCACTCCTGCTCTGTAAACCTGCATTTCCAATGGTTAATCCACATGGCCTGCACATCCCTGGACAATTTGGGCGATTTATCATGGCCAATGCACTTAACCTGCACATCTTTGGACTAGGTCAAAAGTCACACGACATCAGGTTATAGTCCAACAGGTTTGTTTGAAATCACAAACTTTTGCAGCACTGCCACTTCATTAGGTGAAGTGAAGAAAAGTGCACAAGCATAGAATTTATAGGCAGAGAGATCAGTGGGTGGAGAGATCAAAAGATCATACCAAATGGTGTGAGTGGAGTGTCGAATAATAATAAGTCTCTGCAGGTGATCAAAAGTGTCAGACAGTGTGAGTCAAGTATCAACAGCTGAATAGTAAGTGAAGGGGATGATCTACCTCATACACTGCAGGCAAGGTATACTGGTGAGACTTTGCAGATGCTACGGCAATGGATGAATGGATACAGTGCAACAATTGCCAGAGAGAATAGAAAGGAGGGACAAACTCAGAAGAACCACAATTGCTACAAAGGTACTGAGTAAATTGTTGCAGCGTCTGGGTCCTGATGGACTGCATCCTTGATCTTAAAAGAAGTGGCTAAACAAACAGTTGATGTATTTATTTCAGTTTTTCAAAACTTCCTTGATTCAGTGATAGTCCCATGAGATAGCAAATGTACCACTTTTATTCAAAAAAGAGGGTGATAGAGAGCAGGAAACTGCATCAGAGATAGTAGGAACTGCAGATACTGGAGAATCCGAGACGGGGAGGTGCGGGGCTGGGTGAGCACAGCGGGCCGGGCAGCATCGTAGGAGCAGAAAGGCTTTAGCAGGAAACTGCAGGTTGGTTAGCTTACTTCCATCACAGAAAACATTGACGTTAACCTCTCTGCTCCTATGATGCTGCTTGGCCTGCTGTGTTCATCCAGCCCTGCACCTTGTTGTCTCGGATTCTCCAGCATCTGCAGTTCCTACTATCTCTGCCAGAGAGAAATGTTCCCTCCCAGTTTAGCAGTGAAGGAGATACACAACAATGTAGAATTGATGAGCAGAAACTGATAGCCACATTCTGTATCCATGACGACGGCCTCAACCATGATCTCAGGTTCACGTTACGCTACATATAACCCCACCATACTGATCTATATTTGTAAAACCTTCCTTATTGTCCTGTTTTGACAGTATCACCTTGATAACTTATTATGATCTCCCTACCTTAATTAGTTTGTACGGTTTTGGATTACTTATTACTTTAGTTAGACCGTCGGCATGTGACTCTTATACCTATCATGTTATTCCAGCCATTTGGTTTGTCTCCAGCACCACTTTATTTTTAAATTTTTTTGTAAATATCTCTCTGCCTCAATTAATTGGATTATTGATCATCCCCTTCACTTACTATTCAGCTGTTGACACTTTCCTCACACTGTCTGACACTTTTGATCACCTGCAGAGATTTATTATTCGACACTCCACTCACACCATCTGTATGATCTTTTGATCTGTCTGCATATTGATCTCTCTGCCTATAAATTCTGTGCCTATGTGCTTTTCTTCACTTCACCTGCTGAAGGGGCAGCACTCAGAAAGCTTGTGATTTCAAATAAACCTGCTGGTTTATGCCCTGGCGTGGTGTGACCATGTCCACCCCTGTCCAACACGGTGCGAACCACTGGGTCACCGTGTCACTCAAGGCTTCTTAGGCAGAACCTTCCAAAATCTCAACCGTTCCATCTAGAAGGACAAGGGCAGCAGATACATGGGATCAGCATCACCTACATATTCTCCAAGTTACTCGCCATTCTGTCTTGGCAATATATCACCATTCCTTCAGGGGCGCTGGTGTCAAAATCCTGGAATTCCCTCCCTAATGGCTTTGTGGGTCCTTCTACAGCGTGAGGACTGCAGCGGTTCAAGATGGTGGCTCAGCGCCACCTTCTGAAGGGGCAATTAGGGACAGGGAATAAATGCTGGTCCAGCCAGCGACATGCATATTCAGTAAATGACTATACATAAGTGTGGTATTTAACAGCCGGATTTGGATAGGAATTGAATATACTCACAAGTTGTAGACACTCCATGTTTAACCTGTGCTGGCTCCTGACTCTCAAATTACTTTACACAGAATTACAACGAGACTACACCACAGGAACGCCCCCTCTACTCTGTACCAGTGTTCCTGTTTCACACCAGCTCCTTGTATCTCTCGCCTCCTCGTGTGCTTCTCCAGCTTCCCCTACTTCAACATATCAACACGATTGACTTTGACCACTTCCTGTGGGAGCAAGTCCCACATTCCCCCCACTCCTTGTGCAGTGAGTCCTACATTACCCCCTGCAAACTCCCTGGGGCAGCGAGTCCCACATTCTCAAGCCACTAGAGGGAAGATGTTTCTCCTGAATTACCCCATTGGATTTATTTGGGACTGTCTGCTATCGATGGCCCTTGTTCTGGTCTCCCCCTCTCCCCACAAATGGAAACATCTTCTGTATGTCTCGTCGATCAAAATCCTTTTCAGAATTTTAAAGGTCATCCCCTCAGCTTTCGCTTTTCAAGAGAAAAGAGCCTCAGACTGTTCAGTCTCTCCCAATGGCTGTAACCTCTCAGTTCTGGGATCATTCTTTATAAATCCTATTTGCAACTTTTCCAATACCTGATTCAATGCAAGATCGACACCATCTCAGTCACAGGCAGCAATAACTTACACTTCACACTCAAGGTGACCGAGTTGAACACTCGGTGGTTGGTTTGAGGGTAGTCACAAATACAGCGGACAGTTTGATGGTGATGAATGTATGAAGGGTTAAAGGTCAGCACTGTAAAAATCTCGCCCTCGCTCTCTGTGGTGTCACTGACTGAGGAAGAGGGCAGGTCACTCCAGGTCAGTTTGGGAGGGTTATCAGGGCAGGTGTGGAGGGCTTTACAGATGATATAAGCTGACGTCCCTTCCCGTAAATCCCTCGGGAGTAACATCTTCGGACGGTCAGGAACATCTGTAAAATGAAAATAGCCAGATGTTAGCATCCATTGGAAATGTATTCGGGTTGATTCTATAGTTTTGCATTGAAATCCGACTCTTAAAAACTCAAGGGCAGTCAGACCATCCACTCCATGCCGGCTCAAGCAATCCTGATCACTTCCCATCATTCTGTGAATTTATTTCCCTCAAGTGTCCATCCAGTTTCATTTTGGAATCATTGATCAAAACATCTTCTACCCCACCTTGCAGACAGCGAGTTCCAGATCACAACTGCTCTTAGAAACATAGAAAACAGGAGCAGTTTAGGGCCATTCAGTCCTTCAAACCTGCCCCACAATTCATGGCTGATCACGCAGTGATGTGGCAGAAGTGGGAACCAACATAATAGGCACTTATTAGACTCATCTACCAACTTGTCAATAATGCAGCACTCCCTCAGTGCTGACCCTCCGACAGTGCAGCACTCCCTCAGTACTGACCCTCCCACAGTGGGGCACACCCTCAGTACTGACCCTCCAATAGTGCAGCACTCTGGGATCACACCCATTTGAAGTTCATGTTGATACCTCCTGCAGTCAGACCTGAACTCACAAATTTCAGCCTGAGAGGCATGGCCCATATCCCCTTGGACTGATGGACTGTCAGATGTTCTGGGACTTACCTAGAACCTTTAGATGGACTGGTTCTTTGAAGGTGTGAACTTCGAATCCTTCCACATCCACATAAAAATAATAGTTGTCACTGTCTTCAGGCCTGAGGTTGTTAATTTTCAAGGAGCAATCCTTCTGCTCCAAGTCTCCAATTATATCTGTACGTCCAACAAAGGTGGACATCCCATAATTGGGGTCATTGCTGTAGACGACAGCGTATTTCCAGTGATACCAGTATTTAAACCAAGCTCCCTGCACGGCCTTGTAAGGGTGTGACGGAAAGTCAAAGGTACAGGGTATGACCACACATGAACCATTGATAGCCTTCCGAGCTGCAGTTGTCATTGTCCATTCTTCTGTCGCCACGCCTGAGTGAGAGAGACGGAGAGGTACTGGATATTACGGAACCAATTATGATTGTATTTGGAAACAGAATACAGGGCAGTCTGGTTGACTGCTTACATGGATAACAGCACATAGTGCGTGTGAACATCTGAATCTGGAGCAGAAGTAGGCCGTTCAGCCCCTTGATCCTGTTCCGCCATTCAATAAACTCATGTCTGATCTGTTTGTGTTTAGAATTCCACATTCCCATCTCTCCCCAATAACCGTTGATTTCTTGGCCAATCAAAAGTCTACCCCCCTCCCCCACTTTAAAAATATTCACTGTTCCCATTTTCACTGCCTTCTGAGGCAGAGAGTCCCAAAGTCACACACGCTCTGTTTTAAAAAGGTGACCTGTAATTTTAACATCGAGTCAGCTAGTTCTGGACTTGCCCACAATAGGATATATCATTGCCTCTTCCATTTTAAGAAGACCCCTCAGGGTCTTATAAAGTGAGAGTCTTTTGAGGTACTTTATTCAGATTTAATTGGCTAAATTAAAGCAGATTAAAGTTTGTCAATGCTGCAAGAGACACTGTTAAAAATTCAAAACTGAAATGAATAAAATGCAATGCAGTATTGTTTCTTTTGAGATGCACTCCTACCCCAGCAGTGACCACCATGCACTGACAGCCTGCAGTAAGGCTGTGGACCCTGTCTTTACATACTTGATGAGAAGGTAAACATAATATTGTATTTTGTTGAGTAATTGATGGAGGGTAATCATCTTGCGACAGTTGTGCAGGGTACTGGTTGCTGCACACCTCACTCACATGCTTGGTCCTGTTATTTAAGGACGGACAGATATCTTCAAACCAATCTGCTCAGGCATGCTGTGATCCACCACTGGAGCAGGTTCAGTGGGACATGAACCTGTGCATCCTGGCTCAGAGGTGGGGACACTACCACTATGTCACAAGAGCCCCCTGATGATTATGACAGGCACTGAGACAAGGTTGAGCAGGTTGGGAGCATAACCCATTGGGGTTTAACTGAGACCGGGAAGATCCTGGTATCCAGAGTGCCGCAGTGTCGGACGATCTGATGAGGGAGTGCCGCACTGTCGGAGGGTCAGTACTGAGGGAGCGCTGCACTGTCGGAGGGTCACAGCTGAGGGAGCGCCGCTCTGTCAGAGGGTCAGTGCTGAGGAAGCACCGCTCTGTCGGAGGGTCAGTGCTGAGGCAGCGCCAGTCTGTCGGAGAGTCAGTGCTGAGGGAGCGCCGGTCTGTTGGAGGGTCAGTGCTGAGGCAGCGCCGCTGTGTCAGAGGGTCAGTACTGAGGCAGCGCTGCACTGTCGGAGGGTCAGTGCTGAGGGAGTGTCACTCTGTCGGAGGGTCAGTGCTGAGGGAGTGGGCACTGTCGGAGGGTCAGTGCTGAGGGAGTACC